TCGCCCATAGTTCCGTTGAAAATGCCTTTGTTGGGTTCTAGTCATCTCGTTGAAAGGTATCGCCCTTTCAGCCTTATACTGGAATGAATGCCATACATTTGGTTGGCGAGTTTGCGGTCTGAATGTTCTCCCATTATTTACTGGCCTGAACTGCCTCTCAAAAGGTGGTCCCTTATAGAACGATGTACCCCGCCCTCTACCAGGCTGAGCGTTTGGGAAAAAACTAGGGCGATGGTGATGCTGCCATATCCCTGGTTTCTCTGTATTTGCACTCACTTCTTTTTTTCATCTTGCACATAGGACGTCTTTGTCCTTTTTGGGCTCCTTCCCTTTGATACGTTCAAAGACACTGGGATGTGGCCCAGGGTCTTCTTCTCCATCATCTATAACCAACTTGAATTTTGGCAACTTGTTTTTGAAACCAGATGTTACCATGTTCACTCCAAGTGGCTGTGGAAAAGGATTTTCATCCACTGCCATCTTCCTCTTATCCTCGAACGTAATTCGTCCTTTTTCAATGGCATCCTGCAACACATGGCGAAAAACCAAATAGTTGTTAGTCAAATGTGACCATGCATTATGCCACTTACAATATTTTTTACCCTTAACTTGTTCAGGGCTTGACAATTTATGCTTATCGCTTAGCTTTATCTGCTTATCCTTGTATAATTTATCAAATATAAGGTCAGCTTTGGTTACATCAAACGAGAACGTTCTAGCCTTTATGTTTTCATCTTTTATAGGCTCATCCTTGCCCGACGGTCTAAGCTTAGCTATTATAGGACAAGTATACGTGTCTCCTTTAACTAATTCGGCCAAACACATTTCGGTTTGATCGTAATACTCGTCATTAATCGTATGAATATCAAAATTTGGGTCTCTATAATAAGTCCCCTTGCTAGAATTTTTCATTTGCTCTTCTTCTCTTATTAATCGTTCATACCTAATCACGTTCGCGCTCAATTGGAAAAGATCAGAAAATTTCTTGTCTTGGAATTTCTTTTTCAAATCAAAACTTAAGCAACCTTGAGCTATTTTGACAAACTCCTTTTTGAGCAAAGGTACAAAACATTTACTTCTTGCCGTCTTGAACCTTTGAATGAAACCTTCTGCCCATTCGTTTGGCATTTGACGTAGATTCGCCAAATCGGCCAAAGTAATTTCAGACTCAGTCTTATAAAACTGAGCGTGGAACAATTGCTCCAATTGTTGCCATGTTTAGATAGAGTTTGCTGGCAAATTGATGAACCAGGAGAAGGCTACTCCTGTTAATGAACTAGGGAACATCCTCATTTTATGCTAATCAGTTACGTCACCACTTTGCAGTGTGAATCGCTCTATGTGTTCTAGAGTAGACACCTCTCCTAAACCGGTAAATAGTGAGAATTCTGGCACTTTATACCCTCTAGACCATGGATATGCTTGGTCTACCCAATCAGGATATGGCTTTGTGTAAGTAGGCCTAATGACAGGACGTACTCCAAAAGCCATCTGGTCCTGTACGATTTCCATAATCTGATTCCTCAACATGACGTTGGGGTCATATGGAATTCCTACAGGTTGGTTGACCGGTTGATTTGCTTGAGGCCCGATGTTTGGTCCTTGGTTGGAAACAAAGTTGCCATGATTTGGGCCATTGTTACCATTAGCCTGAACATTTATTCCATCATTAACACGTGGGGGTATTCTGCCCATTATTTAGGACATTATCTCTTACATTTAGGTTATCCCACAAGTTAGATGTACCAATGCCACTATTCTGATTTGGTATTATACCACCCCCTGGTTTGAAGTAGAGGGATCAAAAGGTGGTTTTACCCCTTGATTTAAACTTAGGACTGGGGGATTATGTCCCACAATTGTCCTAGTTTGAAAGTGGTTTGCAAGAGGCATAACTGGCTGACAAATTTGGCCTACTAACTTATTCATTATTTCGTTCATAGTATTCAGTTGTTTGGCCATGTTGTCATAATGTGCATTCCTATTCTGAGTAAATCTTTCCATATTATGAATATTTCGTAGGTTTACCTATTCAACGACATCTTGTGTGAGTTCTCCGAGTAATGCACGCATGGTTCGAGGACTCAACTCTGTTATTGGTTCGTAAAGACTATGATTGCTCTGATTCTGTCCATCCGTTCATGGAGAGCTATGCTGCTTCTCATATCGTTCGATCACAGACTGGACTTCTCCCTGACTTGCTGCTTCCTTATCGAATTTCTGAGGCATATTGTTTCACCTTTTGTATCTTCAACACCAAACACCAAGGTCCCACTGGGTGTGTCAAATTGTTTCGCACGGGTAGTCGCTAACAATTAAAAAGGGATCAGACGATTGTGTAAGGACCAAACCTCTTGAGACAAAGTCCCAAAAAGGGATGTTTTATTGGCGATGACTTTACAATTGGAATTTAAATAGAATGCCTCCAAGGGGCGCAAGCCCACGAGTACTGAAAAGAAATGTTTAAGTCTAAACTAAGAAATCAAAATTACATATTCTCTGTTTGAGAGTGTTTGATTCGGGGTCCTTTGCTCTATGTCTTTTCTTCCTTTTATATTCCCTTAATGATCTCTTCGTGATCAACCGCTTAGAAACTGCTTAATTGCTTTATAACTGCCCACTTTCTTCATGGTGGCTAATTTATCGTGGAACTGCCGTCTCTAACTGCTGCCACTACTCTTTGTCGTTCAACCGTCTTCAACTGAACTCCTTGAATCGTGGAACGTGATAAGATTACTTAATAACTGCACTTTTGGATAACCATAACATCTTATGTTTGCTAAGATCCTGGGCGATTTGAAGGTTTGGGCGAAAACAGGATCATAACCCTGGGCGACTGCAAGGCACTTCATTCGCTCAGATCTTAGGCGTTTTGCAAGTTTGGGCGATGGCCTTACCGCGTTCGTGGGCTTCCACTGCATTCATTAATAACCCTATTTGTGCCTTTATCCTGAATTGCCCAGTTGGGCTTCATTTTTTAGGCTGCACTTTTAGCATGTCAACAATAACTTTTGAATCTTTTTGTTGAACCAAAATTCTCTTCATTTTTTGTTGCCAAATTAAAAAATTCTCATTTTCATTGAAATTTCTAACTTCAAAGTATGAAGACATTTTGAAAAAACTGAACAATCAAAGTGCATAAATAGATCACACAAAGTAATCCTAATGTTACAGTATAGATCGTTCTAGAATCTCAGGGTTTTGTGATTTGAGATCTCAATATGAAAGGAATATTCAAACAGGCCAAGTCTAGATGTTCTAACGGAATAGTCAATGCAACACAAAAGTATGTCAACAAAAATTCAATTTTTCACACAATGCAATCTCACACAGTGACATAATAAAAATCAATTGTCAACTTGCAGTATATATAACAAATAATTTCTAAATTTCTAGCATAATCAATGGTTTACGCCACTCGATAACCGCAATCTTAATGTCACCACACACGATAACTCGCTAACACTAAAATTTAAGATGAGACCAGCCAATATACAAGAGTGGACCAATCCGAGTTCGTAGATAATGAGAGATGCAAATTTGCTACTTTTAGGGCCACCTCTATTAGCCCTAATGTCTCCAACAACTACTTCAACGAATCAAGCAAGAAACAAACACGAATGCGCAAAGGACAAAATCATCCAGATTTCACTGTATAACCTGAAGCGGAAAACTAGTACCAAAATGTTAGAAATAATGTCAAGACCAACTATCAGAAAGGACCTTCACTAGAATCCTCTTCACAACCGCCATATGCAGCCAACAGTTTCTACAAGTGGCCTCCACGCTCCATCGAGTAGCCTTACTTGCTCGACCAACAACTGCGCCTCCACCTGCACGTCATACCGATGGTCTCCATTTCACAACCGATTATTGGATTGGTCGAAAATTAAACAAATAGCCTCGATTTTTGGACAGTTTTCTGGATCTATTTTCTGCTTCGATTCATGCCTATTTTTAGGTCTTTTTTTTTTTAGCCAAATCCAACATCTAGGAGTTTTGATACCAATTATCGTGGAAGCTCGCTCCAAAAATCATCTAAATAGTGTTTTTCGAGCTCAATTTCACGTTACATTTTCCTACCAAACAATCATTCCAAACAGCTCTAACCCACAACCAATATATATCTCGGCTGCTTTTTAATCTCACTCATAAAAAACAAGAGAATGGTGTTGATTTGTAACTACAAAGGCACGAAGAAACCTATGGAAGAAGGCACAAGATGGAGTCCAAAGCAAAGAGGTAACCATCGCTTTTGGAAGCATAAAGTAGCCAAGTTTTCTCCACAATATGGCAGTCAAATTTCTTCAATTCATACACAAATTACATACGTTAAAATGCAAAGGAATGAGGCTATATATGGTCTAACATTAAATTATTAATTTGTGCCAAATAATGGATAAATGGGCCAAAACTAAAAATCATTGGTTGAGTTTAGCTTTTGGACTTGGTTGTTGATAATCAATTCATCATTGATTGAGACCCGTGAAAATATATTCTGACGTTTACACCATGGACTGAGATTTATTCGGTATCAAAACCTAGCAGCTTTCAATCTTATCTAGGCATCTTTCCATTTGATGAAGCAATTTCATGCATAATTTTCATGGCACGGCTCGTCCTTCCTCTAATAAGGCACCATCTACGGGAACTAGCCACGAGCTCGACTCGTGACGAGCATGAGCCGAGTTCGTGTGTTTAAGGGCCAAGCCGCCACTAGGCAGGAGACCTTCCCCGCCCCGTCCTATCCCGTTATGCTTTAATCGGGTATGGGAACGGGACAAAATGACAAAATGACTCTACAGGATAAAGGTGGAAATAATTGGCTCATCAAATACCGGTCTGGTTGTCGTCCTTAGATATTCCTTTTCTTTTTCATTTTTGTTTTTTATTTGAAAATAAAGGTAAATTTTTTTTTTTTAATGAATTATAGCCTCTTAATTCATTATAAAGGATAAAATCGTTCACTGACCAGTGACCAGTGTTACCAAAATGAAAGAATGACGATATTAATGCTCTTTTCGAAAAAACGGGGTAGGAGATGCTACACTCATCGCGGTTAGAAGATTTCCGCTCCAACAGTTTTTCATAAACTAACTTCTTTTTTCCCGCCTACGGTTTGACATTAGAGATTTGAATCCGCAACCAATTTTCTTGCCCTTTCCCCCTTTTCTACACTACACTTGGATTGAAGAAGAAAACCCCTTATTGGATCGACGAAGAAACCCTTAACATTCTTAACAATGAAGAGGCTACGGTGGCAAGAATGGGAATCTGATATAAAGAAGTGGATAGCAGAACATTCGGAAAATGATATTGATTTGAATAATCATAATGACAGCATTAGTGAAACTATAGAGCCTTCATCAGATTTGATAGTTCCCCTGCTGAGGTTCCAGAAAGAGTGGTTAGCCTGGTCTCTAAGGCAAGAAGAAAGTGTTCATCGAGGGGGCATTCTTGCAGATGAAATGGGGATGGGCAAAACTGTCCAGGCAATATCCCTTGTTCTTAAGAAACGAGCGATTCGTCGGCATGAATTACAGACATCTTCGACCACATTACCCTCATCTTCAACCACATTGCCCAAGGTTTGTCCAATGATTAGCACCACTCTTGTTATATGTCCCTTGGCGGTTTGTAAACAGTGGGTAAGTGAGATTGACAGTTGCACTTCGGAAGGAAGCACGAGGGCGCTTCTTTATGAGGGAACCGACAGAAAAAAGAAAGTTTATCAATTTTCCGACTATGATTTTGTTATTACCGCATATACGACTCTTGAGGTTGATTACAGGTATTTGATCCTACCGAAAACATCTGGCGAGAATGAAAAGGGACATGATTGTTCTATATTGCATTCTGTACAATGGGATCGTATCATTTTAGATGAGGTAAGCCATTAGGTATCATCAGTAACCTTTTAGATGTTATCTCTGAGTGACTGTTGTTAGAAATTAATTATCATTTATTTATTTTGTCATTTAGATGCACTTTTTTTTAGTATTGATCTAGTCTCTAGGAATAGTTTTACTTAACTGTAGTTGAATAAATCATTGTGGATGAACGAGCCAGTAGGGATAAGATATTTTCTCCAGATTTCATGCTGAATTCTGTTGTACAAATTGCTATATAAAGGCCCCTTTTGTTGAATGAAAATTGCACCAACTCTTCTCCATTTACTCTCATATTCTTAATTGCAGTAGCATATATATATATATTTTTTTCAGCAAACAGGGGTATTAGAGCCAGGTTTAGGCAAAAAATCTGTCCACCCTTTCCCAGAATTTGTAGTGTAAAAACATTCAAACTGTTTTGCATTGATTTGCTCATTACTGTAGCTACAAATTCCATCTGTTCAGTTTGCCGGATATATAATTCTTCTAAAAACAAGTTTTGTATTTGATTTGCAATCACTTTTTCGATTAATATTCAGAACCTTAAATTGCAGTAGCAAGTATATATGGCATCTGAAAATTTTGTGCAGCCAGCCATTCCCCGCTTTGATGGTCACTATGACCATTGGAGCATGCTAATGGAGAACTTCTTGAGGTTTAATGAGTATTGGCATGTTATTGAATCTGGCGTAGTAGCACCTGCTGTTGGAGTGGCACTAACAGAAGCACAATTGACAGAGTTGGAAGGACTAAAGTTGAAAGACTTGAAGGCAAAAAATTATTTATTCCAGGCCATCGATCGATCTATTCTGGAAACTATTCTTAGCAAAGAAACTTCTAAGGATATTTGGGATTCAATGAAGAAAAAATATCAAGACTCTTCCAGAGTTAAGCGTTCATAGCTTCAAGCCTTAAGAAGGGATTTTGAGATTCTACAAATGAAGGATGGTGAATCAGTTTGCAAGAACCAAGGGGATAGCCAATAAAATGAGATTCCATGGTGAGAAGATGGAAGATGTTGCCATTGTTGAGAAGATATTACGTTCCTTGACTCCGAAATTCGACTACATTGCCTGTTCAATTAAAGTTTATGATGATCAAAGGCAAAGTTAGAGGACGTGGTCAGCACTTCGACAAATCCAAGGTAGAGTGCTACAGGTGCCATAATTTTGGTCATTATCGTTCTGAATGTTATACGAAGCCACCTAACGATAAAGAAAAAGGAGAGATTGAATTTTGTAGAAAATAAAGAAGTGGAAACTTTGTTGATGATGGTTCAAGTCAATGAGGAACCTCAGTCATATGTATGGTATGTGGATACAGGCTGTAGTAATCACATGTGTGGAAGTAAGAATACAGGCTGCAGTAATCACTTGTGGAAGTAAGTATTCTTTTTCTTACTTAAACGAAGGCTTTCATTCTACAGAAAGTTTTGGTGATTGTTCTACCGTGAATGTAATGGGAAAGGGTGATGTTAATATAAGAACTAAGAATGATATCTTAGAAACAATTTCCAATGTTTTTTATGTTCCTGATTTGAAAAGCAATTAGTTAACTGCTGGACAATTGCAAGAAAAAGGTTATGTGATTGCTATCAAGAATGGTGCGTGTGAGATATATGATCCTTCTAGAGGAGCTATAGCTATTGTTCAAATGAGTTCAAATAGGTTGTTTCCATTAAAGATCGAAAGTGCTCAACTTTCCTTGATGGCTGAAGTAAATGACTCTTCATGGCTTTGGCATTTTCGCTTCAGCCACTTGAATTTTGGTGGATTAAAGACCCTCCATCAAAAGAATATGATAACAGACCTTCCTCAAATTGACATTCCTTCTAAAGTTTGAAGAATGTGTTGTTGGCAAACAGCACCGTTCTCAATTTCCTCAAGGAAAGTCATGGAGAGCAAAATATGTCTTGGAGCTGGTTCATTCCGACATTTGTGGGTCGATTAAACCATCTTCTAATGGGGGTAAGAGATACATGATTACCTTCATTGATGATCATAGCTGGGTTCAATTTTTGCTGGAAAAATCAGAAGCTTTTAGTGTATTTAAAAGCTTCAAGGTGCGTGTTGAAAATGAAACAGGAAAAATGATTAAAACTCTGCGTACTGATCGTGGTGGAGAATATTGCTCAAAGGAGTTTGAAAGTTTTTGTGATGCTCATGGCATTTGAAGAGAACTCACAACCGCTTATACATCGCAACAAAATGGTGTATCAGAAAGGAAATATAGAACCATTCTCAACATGGTGAGAAGCTTGCTAGCAAAAGGAAGAGTTCCAAAGAACTTTTGGCTGGAAGCAGTGAATTGGAGCATTCATATCTTGAATAGGAGTACTACTTTTGCAGTTCAAAACATGACACCAAAAGAGGGTTGGAGTGGGCGGAAACCAGCTGTAGATCACTTCAGAAGTTTCTTTTGTATAGCATATGTACACGTCCCAGATGAGAAATGGAAGAAGCTTGATGATAAGGGTGAAAAGTGTGTCTTTCTCGGCGTAAGTGAAACATCCGGAGCATATAAATTGTTCAATCCAATGACGAAAAAGATTGTGAACTGTAGAGATGTGATTTTTGATGAGGAAAGCACTTGTAATTGGAACGGACAGTAACTATTCAAGTCATTTTTGATAGTGAAACTCAAGAAGAAATGCAGCAATCCCTGCAACAACAAATTCCAGTGGCTCCTATACCCGAAAATCCACCAAACGTAGCTCCAGTAAGTACTGAAACTTTACCAACTGTAGCAGAAGCTACTGATGCAGCAGTTGAATCCCGTTCTCATCGTATTCGAAAAAGGCCCGCGTGGACGATAGACTATGAGGTAACTGGAATTGACCAAATTGAAGATCCACTCACCTACTTTGCTTTATTTTCACTACAACTTTTGAAAGTGCTGTCAAAGAATCAAAATGGCAAAAAGCAATGGATGATGAAATTGCAGTCATTGAAAGAAATGATACTTGGGAGTTATCGAATCTTCCAAAAGGGCATAAAACTATTGGTTCGAAGTGGATGTTCAAAACAAAACTAAAGGAGAATGGTAAAGTTGACAAGTATAAGGCGCGACTGGTGGCTAAGGGATACAAACAAGAGTCTGGAGTTGACTATAATGAAGTTTTTGCTCCAGTAGCAAGACATGATACAATCAGATTGGTGATCACATTGGTAGTACAACATTCATAGCCTATCTTCTAGTTGGATGTCAAATCGGCATTCTTGCATGGAAACTTGGAGGAACAGGTATTTGTCGATCAATCTCCTGGTCATGTTTAAATTGGTAATGAGCATAAGGTGTATAGATTAAAGAAAGCTCTTTATGGGTTAAAACAAGCTCCATGGGCTTGGTATAGTCGCATTGAGACTTATTTTTTAAAGGAAGGTTTTCAAAAATGCCCATGTGAACACACACTTTTTGTTAAAGTTGGAGATGGAGGAAAAATGCTCATTGTCTGCTTATATGTAGATGATCTTATACTGGAAATGATAGTGTCATGTTTGAAAAATTCAAGAAATCTATGATAGTCGAATTTGAAATGTCTGATCTTGGTATGATGCATTATTTCCTGGGCATAGAAGTAGTGCAAACTGCTAGTGGAATCTTTATTTGTCAAAAGAAATATGTGCGAGAAATTTTGGACAGGTTTTAGATGAAGGATTGCAACCCTGTAAACACTCCGAGTTTGGCTTGAAGCTAACCAAGGATCATGGAGGAAAAACTGTAGACAACACACTCTACAAGCAAATTGTAGGGAGTTTGATGTATTTAACTGCAACAAGACTAGACACAGTGCATTCTGTAAGTCTAATAAGCAGATTTATGGAGAATCCAACAACAATGCATTTCTTAGCTGCCAAGAGCATCTTTCGTTACTTGCAGGGAACTAAAGATTTTGGATTGTTCTATAAGAAGGGAAAAAGATCAAACCTTTTCGGATTTACTGACAGTGAATATGCAAGAGATCAAGGTGACAGAAAAAACACCTCAGGTTATGTTTTTATACGGGGAACAGGGGCTGTTTCATGTTCATCCAAGAAGCAACCAATAGTTACTTTGTCAACTATTGAAGCTGAATTTGTTGCTGCAACAGCTTGTGTTTGTCAAGCTATCTGGCTTAGGAAAATTCTTGAAGAGTTGCATTTTAAGCAAGAAGGATCTACTACAATTTTTTTTGTGACAACAACTCAACCATCAAACTTTCCAAAAATTCCTGTGCTACATGGAAGAAGCAAGCATATTGATGTGAAGTATTATTTTTTAAGAGATCTCAGCAATGATGGAACAATTGATCCGAAGTACTGCATAAGTGAAGATCATGTGGCTGACATATTTACTAAACCTCTCAAATTTCTTCCCTTCCAAAATCTGAGAAGGTTACTGGGCATTTGCACCTTGGAGAGTCCAGCTTGAAGAAGGAGATATACAAACAATCTGGAACTTAAAAGTCTACAATTTATGGGAGGGATTGTTAGAAATTAATTATCAATTTTTTTTGCTATTTAGATGCACCTTTTTTAGTATTGACCTAGTCTCTACGAATAGTTTTACTTAACTGTAGTTGAATAAATCATTGTGGATGAAATAGCCAGTACGGATAAGATTTTTTCTCCAGATTGCGTGCTGAATTCTGTTGTACAATGGCTATATAAAGGCCCCTTTGGTTGAATGAAAATTTCTCCAACTCTTTTCCATTTACTCTCATAATCTTGATTGTAGTAGCTTATTATTTTTTTTTTCAGCAAACAACTGTATTGTCCTATGCTACACAGGCTCATTATATAAAGAATGATCGTAGTAACACGGCCAGAGCTGTTTTTGATTTACAATCTTCATATAAATGGGCTTTGAGTGGCACACCCTTCCAGAATTCTGTTAAAGATCTTCACTCACTTGTAAGTTTTTGTGGAAGTAGATTAGTTTGGTCATGCAACTTTATATTTAGATATAACAACAAATATTTCATTCACGCAGGTCCGCTTTCTGCAGATGCATCCTTACTGTTATTACTTATGCAGGAGTTGTGATTGCAGTTCACTAGATTATAGGTACAATTCAAGCATTTCCATGATTCTTTAAATGCTTAAATAAATCTTGCTCCTAACCCGTGTAACCCCATCTCCCAAACCTAAAAAGAAAAGTAAAAGAATAACTGGGGAATGAAATAACACGACTACAGTACAATATGAAGTTGGATAATTTGAAATGTGTTATTGTTAAAAATGTCTGTAATTTCCTCCTGATAAATCCACGAGTGAAATAACTTGCCTGAAGATTTACAATTATGTTTGTGAAGAGGTCAATAATTTTTGCTATACAAAAGAAAAGAATGTCATAACTCACTCAACTCACCTTACCACTACTCACCCATAACAAATACATTCTAGATATTTTGTATTTTACTCTAAAAATGGAGCAGATGGAGGGAGGAATAGCATGTTGAAGATTGTTAGTTTGGTGAAAACCGAATTTCCACCACTTTTTTCTCTATCTTCAAATCTATTCTTCTTATTCAATCTGTAATTTCTCTGCAGTGAATACAATGGAGTGCATTTAAAATTCATTCTCTCAATTCTCTTTGTTTTGTCATTTTACCCTCTCCTTTCTTATTGATTTCCTCATTTACCCCATTCCCCATTCTAGTTTCCTTTAATTTGGTTACAATTTCAGCTCATTCAGCTGAGAGAATTCCACAGTTGATTTGTTGGAAACTCGAGGTTGCGAATTGAAATTCAATTCGTAACAAAGAAATCCTCTGTCCTATTTAGAAAAGTGAAAGTTATGGAGACAAAAACTCATTTTTTTATTATTTTTGCACATAATATCACAGAATTTACAGATGAATAAATAGCTGAAGACTGCCTGAGATTTAGCCACAATTATCTCAACCATTCAGGATAATTACAAGAAAACAAATCTAATCTAAACTAAGCATAAAGCTTGGAACTAAATTAATCTATCTTAATAGATAACAATCTTAACTAACAAATAACTTTTTGTTTCTCTACACTCCCTCTCAAGTTGGAGCATAGATATCTATCATGCCCAGCATGCTTATGTGGAATTCCAAGTGTGATCTTTGGAGTCCCTTTGTTAGGATGTCAGCTGTCTGTTCTGAAGTTGGAACAAATGGCAAGCAAATAACACCTGCTTCAAGCTTCTCCTTTATGAAATGTTTATCAATTTCCATGTGTTTTGTCCTGTCATGTTGCACTAGATTATGTGCAATACTAATTGCAGCTTTATTGTCGCAATAGAGTTTTATTGGTAATGTAGGTCTTCTTAACTCCTCAACCATACGTTTCAACCACAATACTTCACAAATCCCGTGTGACATAGCGTGAAACTCAGTTTCTGCACTGTTCCTTGCAACTACACTCTGCTTCTTACTCTTCCAAGTAACAAGATTGCCCCAAATATATGTACAGTACCCTGAGGTAGAACGTCTATCTATAGTAGATCCAGCCCAATCCGCATCGGTATAGACTTCCACTCCTCTCTGCTCATGTTTCTTGAAGAATAATCCTTTCCTTGGAGTACTCTTTAGGTACCTCAAGATCTTGTGTACAGTGAGGATTATATCATCCACATACACAATTAGGATTGCAACTTTCCCTTCTGAGAACTTCACAAATAATGTATGATCTGTCTGTCCTTGAGCGTAGCCTTAAATCTTACAGATTGGGAAAATTTTTCTAACCATGCTCTAGATAATTGTTTAAGTCCATATAATGATTTTCTTAACTTACACACCCGTGTGCCAAATTTTTCATCAAAACCCAAAGGAGGATCCATGTAAACTTCTTCTTCTAGTTGACTATTTAGAAATGCATTTTTTACATCTAGTTGCTGAAGCGGCCAATCTAAATTCATAGCAATGGAAAGCAAAACTCGTACTGAATTAAGTTTAGCAACTGGTGCGAAGGTCTCTGAGTAGTTAATGCCATAGGTTTGATTAAACACCTTTGCTACCATCCTCGCCTTATATCGTTCTAGAGTGCCATCTGCATTATACTTGACTGTAAATACCTACTTACAGCCCACAGTTTTCTTCCCTTCTGGTAAATCCACAACATCGCAAGTCTCATTCTTGTCCAGAGCCCTCATTTCCTCCAGAATTGCTTTCCTCCATTCAGGAACAATTAAAGCATCCTGCACGGTTCTAGGAATTTCTATGGTAGAAAGTTGAGTTGTGAAAGCACGAAATAAAGGTGATAGTTCATCATAAGACACAAAATTGGACATAGGATGTTTAGTACATGACCAAACACCTTTCCTAAGAGCAATTGGAATGTTCAATGACTCATCAGATTTAGAAGTAGGTATTGGAGATGATTTACCTGAAATTTTCCTTGGGTTAGGCTCATGGAAAAGCTTCAGAGAAGTATCCTCTTTTCTTTAAAATTTTTTCTTTCTTGCATTGACACGAAGCCCATTTTATTTTTCTCTTGGTTTCGCACATATCTCTGTTTCCAATTGATTTAGTAATGGCATTGAGGCAGATTTTTCACAAGTTCCACTATTTAATGTTTCTGAATCCAAATTGCTTTCTGAAGGATATTCTACAGGTAACTGTCCTAAATCTGGACTGGAATCTTGTTACCCAACTAGTTTAGGCTCAGGTGCAAGTTATTTTGGCAGCCCTGTATGTGCATTTGTGTTCAAAACAGGCCCAAAATTGGTTCTGTCAGTTTCTGTGCTTCCTAAGGTAGGGGAGATAGTTGGAAATGAATCAAGATCTGTATGATAAAAAATATATATATTTAAAGGCATCTTCACTTTCACTCTTTTCCCGAAGATGATCTTTCTCAAAATACTTTTGTGTTTCCAAAAAAGTCACTTCCATGGTAACAAAAACTTTCCTTGAAACAGGATAAAAACATTTGTATCCCTTTTTGAGTTGGTAAATAACCAATAAAAAACACATTTTTTGGCTCATGGATCAAACTTTTCACAATTGTGATTGTGAACGTAGACAAAAGCTCTGCATCCGAAGATTTTTAATGGGATAGTATTGACTAGCCGTGATGCTGGAAAACATTTGTTAAAAATATCTATCAGTGTTTGAAATTTTAAAATTCTTGAAGGCATCCTATTAATTAAAAAAGTTGATGTAAATAAAGCTTCTCCCCATAAATAATTTGGCACATTAGTTGTAAATAGTAGTGCTCTATCAATTTCCAAGAGATGCCTATTTTTCCTTTTTGCCACTCCATTCTATTGTGGAGTGTCAACAAAAGAGCTTTGACTCACAATTCCATGTTCAGCAAAATATTATCCCAAAATTTTATTGAAGTATTCTTTCCCATTATCACTTCGAAAATTTCTAATGTTTGTCTGAAATCGAGTTTTTACCATATTATGAAAATCTTTAAAAACTTGTTCAACATCATATTTTTCCTTTAGCAGGTATACCCAAGTTGTCCTAGTGTGATCATCAATAAAAGTTATAAACCATTTCTTTCCAGTTAATGTAGCAACCCGAAAAGGCCTCCAAACATCACTATGAATCATGGCAAATGGTTCATGGCAAATGGTTCAGATGATTTATATGGTCTTACAGGAAAAGAAGGACGATGATGTTTAGCCACTTCACAAATTTCACAATGAAATGAAGATGAATCTTTATTGATAAACAGATTTGGAAACAAAATTTTTAAATATTGAAAACTCGTCTTTTCAAGGTCGAGCCATCTTCAAAGAAGTAGAGTCCCCCACTTTGTTTAGCATTGCCAATCGTCTTTCCCAAGGCCAATTCTTGAAAGTCACAATGAGAAGGGAAAAACTGAGCTCGACATTGTAGGTCACGAGTTAATTTACTGATAGATAAGAGATGATAAGACAAATTAGGGACATGAAGGACACTTTAAGCGTCATAGATGGTGAAATTGTTACTGAACCTTTTCCAGCTATTGCTGAAAGAGATCCATTAGCAACTTTTATTTTCTGGTTGCCTGCACATGGATTATATGACACAAACAATTGTGAAAATCCTATCATGTAGTCTGTTGCACCTGAGTCAATTATCCAGGAATGACTAGAGTTTGGATTAACACTAACAAAAGCAGTGGACAGGTAAATACCTTTTTGGGCTAAGGAACATGAAGGAGAAGAATTTACTGATATATTCGAGAATTGAAGAAGTCTGCATAGATTTCCTAATTGTTCCTTTGTGAAGTGCAGATTTTCTGCAGAAAATTGAGAACCGTGATCTCCGTTTGAGACTTGAAATGCACGGCCATCTGCTTTGCTTTTCCAGTTTGGTGGCTTTCCGTTCAAATTCCAATAGTTTCATGTGAATGCCCAGTTCTCTTGCAGTGTTCACACCAAGATTTTTCTCCTTTGCTTTGCTTTCTCCTGTCTCCATCAAAATCGAGACCCTTACCCTTGGACTCCAGTGCTAAATTTTCAATGTCAGACACATTCTCAGGCTTGTTCATCATAACTCTTTGACGGGCCTCTCCTCTCCGAACTTTTAAGAAAACCTCTCGTATATTTGGCAACGGATTTTTGCTAAGAATTCTCCCTCTCACATCATCCAGCTCTCGATTCAAGCCAGCTAGGAACATGTACACCCGTTCATCTTCTTCTCTTTTCAAGTGGCGTGCACTATCCTCAGGATTTTCCCACTCCTCATCATAACGTTGGTCTAACTCCTGCCATAGTGTTACCTTCTCATTATAATATGCAATCACCTCTCTATTCCTCTGTTTTACTTGCCAAAGGCGAGTTTTCAGGTTAAAAATTTGAGAAGGATTTTCCAGGTTAGAATAGGTATCCCAGACAGCTTCCCAAACCTCCTTGACTCTAGGAATAAACAAGAATGGTTTCCCTATAGAAAGTTCCATTAAGTTTATGAGCTATGCAATAATCATGGAGTTTTTAGATCCCAATGCCTTAAGATTGGGGATCATCATCTACTGGTTTTTTTTATTTCACCAGTCAAGTGACCACGTTTACCTTTCCCATCAATAACAAGCTTCACGGTCTGTGCCCATTCCAGGTAGTTCCTGCCATTTAATTTATGGGCTGTTAACTGAAGGGAGTTATTGACTGTAGTGCCTGAATTGTCTGCTCCAATGACAGACGAAGGAGGAGCACTCTCAGCAGAATCTCCTGATATGCTCGGGTTTCTATTTGCTCCGATCATGGCAGTCTTAGTCATTGTGAACTTTGATCAGACCAAGAGCTCTGATACCATGAAAGTTATAGAGAAAACAACTCTTTTTTTTATCATTTTTCACATAATATCAAAGAATTTACAGATGAATAAATAGCTGAAAAATGCCTGAGATTTAGCCACAATTATCTCAAACCATTCAGGATAATTGCAAGAAAACAAATCTAATCTAAATTAAGCATAAAACTAGGAACTAAATTAATCTATCTTAATCTACAAATTTAAATACCAAATCCTAATTAACAGATAATAATCCTAACTAACAGATAACTTTTTGTTCCTCTACAAAAAGGCATGTGTGCGAACACCTTAAGAACCTGAAATAGGGACTTCTAATTTTAGCGACCTTGAGATTTTTATTATTATTATTTGTTTTTTAGCTTCTGCCATGTCCTAGTATATTTCATCAACAATGATGTATTTCTGAACCTTCTGTGCGCGAGTACAGTGCTCCAACAAAATGTCCACACTGCCCTCATGTATTTCGGCACTTTAGCTGGTGGAACAAAGTGAGTTGCTAATTCTATAGTCATTATTCTTTCGTTTTCCAATTATTTTCTAGTGTAGCTATTGTGTGGAGATAATAAGGCTGCGATGTCTTCTTCTTTTTTTCCCTCAGTATATTTCTACACCAGTAGAAAAACATGGAAATACTGGGACTGGTAGGGATTCTATGATTCTGTTGAAACACAGAATTTTGAAACGCATAATGTTGAGACGTACCAAAGAAGGGAGGTCAGCTGAATTGCGAATTCATCCTAAAACTGTAAGTTTTTTAAGGCTATACAATTAAAGTTTAACGGTGAATCTATTCAAAAGTGTGTTCTACTTAGTTGATTTCTTAATTGTATTTCAGGTTATTGAAAGATGGCTAATATTGGATGAAACTGAAGAACTTTATTATAAAATGGCATACAAGGAGTGCCTAACACTATTAAATAGGTATGTCATCAACTATTCACCTTTGTTCTTGATGTAGTACATCACAACTACAATTAATAGTTTCACCTTATCTAAGAGTTTATTTTTTCTAGTTTTCTTGTATAGTTGTGATAGGATTTTTTTTTATCTTTTATTTGATTAGGATTATAGGTTTAATTAGTTTCAATTTTCTAATAGTATTAGAAGTAGGAAATAATCTTGCTTATAAATATAGAGGTATTGTACACTTTTTCATTACATCAATTTGTTGAAGATCTCGGAATATGGATGCAGTTTTGATGATTTATTTGTTACCTTATGTACCGGTTTCGTTATACAGAACATATATATTTTTCCTTATTTTTAGATTTAGCATATATTTGAATTTGGTAGGTATTCTAGTCCTGTAAAAGGCTATACTCGGCAGAGGCTAATGTATCAATTGAGTTCTTGTTTTTTGTGGTCTTTTCATTCCATTACTCTCCTTGGTTTTGTGGTAACAGAGCCGAGGGTCACTTGAATAGTGGAATGGAAAAATTGGCCATGATTGGTGCACGCAGAGAAGAGGATTCGAGGACCTCCACAGCAACCTCGGAACCTATCTCTACAAGTGCACCCATTACATCTAATTATCTTCCCATGACTACCCTCTCTGAAAACACTTCTCTCCAACTTACTACTACTCAGCTAAATAGCAAGAATTTTCTCCAGTGGTCTAGATCTGTCCTTATGGTTATACGTGGTCGTTGACGCCTTGGGTATGTGACTAGAACTGCAATAAAGCCAGATGAAAGTGATCCAGCCTATGCAACTTGGGATGCATAGAATTCCATGGTTTCGGCTTGTATTGTGAATTCAATCGAGGAAGAAATTAGAGAATCCTATCTATAATATTCTACTGCAAAGGAGCTTTGGGATGCACTCACCGTTGCCTTCTCGGACTTGGAGAATTCTGCCCAATTGTTTGAGCTTCGAAACAAGGCAAGAAATTTACGGCAAGGAGAACTCAATGTCACATAGTATTATAATTCCCTGCAACGGCTGTGGCGAGAGATTGACATGTTTGTCCAGATAAAATTGGACACAGCCAAGGATGCTAAAAAGTACAAGAAACAAGTGGAGAAGGAAAGAATTTATGATTTCTTGACTAGTTTAGTTCCGGAATTGGATGAGGTTCAAGGCAAACTACTAGGCATCAAACCAACTCTGACAATTGATGAGATTTTTGCTGAAGTACGCTATGAAGCCAGCCAGAAACGTTTAATACTTGGAGACTCCAAGCATCCTTCATTGAAGAACTCGGCACTAGTTGCTCGTGGACAAGATTAGCCCGTGTGACCAAGAAAAATAATGGCTTGTGGTGCGAGCACTGCAAGAGGACCAACCACTCCATAGACCGGTATTGGGTCCTACATGGGAGACCGCCGAACAAGAAGCAGGCGGAATGATGGGAGGCCAACTCAGCTTCACCAAGAGGAAAATCCGACGTGCTCCTCTGGTTTCCAGAGCACCGAAGAACCGCCACCAGCAGCTGCCCAATCCAATAATATCTCTCTCTCACTGACCAAGGTGCAACTCGAGTAATTATACAGACTTATCACTCCTGTAGTACCACCCTTTGACTTATTGGCTGAAAAAGGTAACTATATGTCGGCATTGACGAGCAGGAACAATGTTCAATAGTGGGTTATTGACTCGGGTGCCACGGACCATATGACAGGCTATGAAAAATTGTTCATTCTTACTTACCCCGGCCTGGACAATTTAAAGTAAAAATAGCTGATGGTTCACTCTCACTAGTTGTCGAAATTGGAATTATTAGACTCATTCCATATATTGAATTGAAATTTGTTTTACATGTTCCGAACCTTTCTTGCAATCTTCTCTTTATTAGTAAAGTAACTAAAAATTTGCATTGCAGTGTCAACTTTACTGAATCACTGTGTATTTTCAGGATCTGACTTCGGGGAAGAGGATTGGCAATGCTAAGGAATGTGGGAGACTATTATTTTCTGGAAGATGCCTATTGGAATAGACAAGCTCAAACTACAAGCTGTGAATCTATCCCTAGAGAACAAGACATAATGTTGTGGCATCGTCGTTTATGTCATCCTATTTTTTCATATCTTAAACATTTATTATCATCATTGTAATAGGGACTACTAGTAATTTGCAATGAGTAGAAGAAGAAAAATAAATGACAGACAAGAGCCTTGTGTTGATTGAACGAAAAAAAGGTTACAAAAAATATAGAAACTGTTCCAGCTTTTCGAGAGGGCCATCTCTTCTAAATCTTATTGATGCAGGATAAGGGATGATTCCTGCAGAATAATTAGAAATAGCAAAATAGCACAACTAGCAAGTAGAATTCCAGCGAGAAGAAGAAGAAGGCAGCAAGAAGGGGGAAAGGGCCAGAGAGAAAGGGGGGAGAAAACCAGAGAAGAAGTAGAAATCAGGGGAAAGGGGAGAAGGAGGAAGCGATAGGCAACAACCTAAACATTCTATTCTTTAATTCATCAATTCATCAACTGTCTCAAATACGCAACAAAACAGAAATAAATAACAAAACAAAAACCCTAAAGAGAAGGGGTTGGGCCAAACCCGCTAAACAAGCCCAATAACAGAAATATAAATAATAATCCAAATAGAATATAACTAATAGTCCAAATAGAAAATAAATAGTAAATGAAAGAAAATAAATAGTAAATGGATGTCCGCATCAACTCTCCCGGGGTGGGAGAAAAACTCGACCCCGTCGAGTGGATAAATCAAAATGTTGCAATGAATCTGATGCTAAAGGCTCCAAGTCATGCCATGGGGGACGATCTTTCTGACGAACCAAATATCGAAATTTCACAAATGATGACGATGCCAATTGCAAATTACTCGCAAAAACATGAGCTGACCAAGATAACTTAGGCGAATGAGAATTTTGCTGACTCTTATAAAGCTCCAATGAATTTGGCTCACGCCGCTGAAGTCTCTCTTTGGGAATCCATGTACCGTCAGAATCAAGTCGATCCATCCAACGATTAAGAAAATACTGAATCTCTCTATCATTGGTCAACACAAGCTGTTCATCCAAAATAACATCAATTTTATTTTTGTGTGCTGTGATAGGTGGGATTGAAGCAGACATGGCAAAAGATTCAGTGTGAGAATTCTCATGTGAGAGGAGAAACGGGTCATCAGAGGGGCTAAAATAGCCGTTGTAAGCATCGAAGTCCGTAACAAATAAAATAGGGTGGTGGTCATAATGTGATAAAAGGTCATTGACATAGGCATTTTGACCAATACGCTTTGAAATTTTAAAAAGACCAGCATTACAAGCTTGCAATATAACATAATCCCCAATATTAAATTCAAAGTATTGTTTATGCCAATCAACTTGAGGTTTATATAATGCTTTACTTGCTTCAAATTGTTTATTGATCTCAATATGCAAGCTATGAAAATGTGATACAATTACCTCAACTGACATAGACACACAAGCATGTGGGTGCATGGGAATAAGGTTTAGAGATTTCAAAGGTTCACAACCAAGAATAACTTCAAAGGGTTTTAGATCTAAAGACCAGTTCACAGGATCGTTATATGCAATTTGAACAATTGGAGGGATCAAGTCCCAATTTTCAAGATTTTTCTGGACTAGAGACTGTAATAAATTATTAGGATTTTGGTTAGCACTTCTGTTTTGACCATCAATTTGAGGTTGGTCAGTGGTGGATAATTTTGCCTTAGTATTAACCTTAGGCGACTGGATTTTCCAAGGGTAACTAGTGACATCGTCAAGCTCTTTAACTTGGGTAAGGGTATGACATATAACATGTGATCGAAAATTGTCAAAGATAAGGGGTATAGTATCCAAAGTCTTGGGAAGAGTCTGGATTCCACCTAAGGAAGTGTCCTCACTATCATCCAAGTCATCAAAATCTTCAAGTTTAGGTTTATAGACTAGATCTTCCAACGGCTCCTCTACTACATTCTTTCGTTCTTCCATGACTAAGGTTCGATTAGGACATTTAGAAGAAATGTGACCAAAGTCTTTACAGTTGACGCACAACAAGTGAGAAGAAGACCTTGGAGTTTCAGAAATTCTACCCTGATTTTTCAAGATTGGAGAACCATTAGAAGGGGGAAGTCCTAGAAGGGACTTAACGGAAGAAGGTGGAGCCAATGAAGCCAAATAATGATTATAAAAAATTTTACCATTATTTTTCAAAATTGGAGGAATATCAGACGGGGGAGGTCCTAGAAGGGACTTAACGGGAGGAAGTGGAGTCAGTGACACCGAAGGATGATTGTCAATATGCTTTCTACTTGGAGAAGAAGATCTTGGACTATCACGACCTTTACAATTATTTTTCCAAATAGGAGGAACATTAGACGGAGAAGGTTTTATGATAGACTTATGATGAGGCGACGCTAATGAGATGGGTGAACGACGATGACCACGCTTTTCATATGGAGTACTAATAATCAACTCATAATCTCGAGTTAAAGAGTAAGCGTGATTAAGAGTAGTGACACCTCGAAGGAAAAGCTCGCGCTTAAGATCATCTCTCAGACCTTGGCTAAACCTACTCAAAGTCGTGCTCTCATCCTCAATTAAATGACATTTGGTTCGAAATTCCTCAAATTGTGCGATATTCTCAGTCACTAATTGATTTCCTTGTTTAAGGGCATTCCATTGAGTAAGAATTTCAAAATTTTCTCGTTCTCGCTCACGAATTTGATCCCTATTCCTATCACTATCCTTACAATCGGGTCGAAAGTATTTTTGATTACCTTGTCGACGATGTTGTCTTTATGAGACACCTTAGAATTATCAACTTCAATTGAATGAGGGATGTGTTTAAAATTTTTCAAACTAACAGATAGGGTCTTACTCTCCTCAAGAGTGGCGGTCATTTGAGTTTGAATAGCCGCTATTTGTAGGGTGAGTGCATCGAATTGTGAGGGGTTCATATTTAAGGTATTAGAGTTAGAAGTGACAAGATGACCAATATGTAACTACATGC